TTCTAATACCAAGTTTTCATCCACTAATTTTAAAGTAAAAACCGACGAATTGAAACGGTTAGATTCAAAATAGCATAATGTTGAAGGACTTACACTATTGCTTCCCGGTATGTGTAGAAAATGATGATTTATGATGTCAGGATCATTCAAGTTTGATGGCAAATCAATATCTTTATTTTTGAAGTCTACCACATTTTTCTTTATATTTCTCCAAAGTACTTGAGGGTTTTTTGAATTGTTATTAATAAAGTAACGAAAGTAGGCTGTTTTTTCACTCAGTATAGCAGCATTAACAGTACTCTTAAGATCTTTATAATATTTTTTGTCACCTTTGGAATTTATGCCTTTACATTTGGCGTGAGCTTTATCTCTTAGCTTCATCATTTCCCTAATCGTTGGTGTGATCCACGGATAGCTATGGCCTTTTATGTAAGATGTTCTTATTGGTGCATGAATATCAAACAGATACAATATTTGTGAATTAAAAGCCGTTACAGAACTGTTTACGTCATCACAAAGCAACTCTTCCCACAGTACAGCATCAACATCAGAATTAAATTGTGGTACGTTTATATCCTTAATTGGTCTATAAGTAATACATGTTGACACTTGCTTTGGCTTCTTTACATTCAAATCACAAGATAGAAAAGCGTGATGACTCAGATCTGGCACATAGTCAACCTGTATATTAAATACATCACAGCTACTGCAAATCAAATCAAGTAAAGTTTCCGAGTGATCAGTAAAATGAGTCGCTTGTGTGACGTGCTGCCTCAGACCCATACACAGTAGAAAATCATTGAGCTTTTTTGAATTAGGATCTGAAGGTGCAAGCAAATTAATATTGAAATCTCCTAACAATACAATGTAGTCATAGGCTGAAAATGAACTGACTGTATCAGATAGATCATTTATAAAAGTATCAATGTGAAACCAAGGAGGACGATACGCGGTACCTATTGCAAGTTTCAAACCATTAGCTTTAACACTTAACCACATCTGTTCAATAGAGAGCGTACTCGGATGTTCCAGGACGCGAGCGTGGATACCATTTCTAATGTAAAAACCCACACCTCCTTCGCGTGCTCGGATGCTTGCAGGACGAGGTTTGTGTCGCAGCTTGTATCCTGGAGGTGAAGGTGCGCGCAGTTCCTCACCTGGCTTCAACCACGTTTCATTTATCGCCATAATATCTACCGCATGACGATCAAAGGAAACCAAAAATTCATCATGACGTGTACATAAAGAACCCGGATTCAGAAAGCCTAGAGATAATTTTTTTTTACTAATAAATTGTATGACAAAAGAGTATGTTATCTGAACATACTTGCAATGAAATAAATATTTTCGTAGTAAAGTCAGATGTCGCATATCTACAAATGAACGCATTGATAAATGCAATAATAATTTATGAAAACCAACGAACGTCTTGTAATATCCGAGTATATAGGCTATTCCTAGAACAGTTTTATTTAAAAATATTTTAAGGCACATTGTGGCATAGAAATTATCACTTAATATAAGACAATATAAAATGCTCGCGAAAAGTACAAAACTCAATATGAATAAAACATAAAAAATAATAATAAAAGAGCAAATAAATACAACCTCCCTCAAAAACAACACTAAACAGTTCAGATAATAACGTATACGCGTGATAAAAGGAATTTCTATTAAAGTTCTATTAACAAAGCTTAGACAATTCCATGTAAACAAGTAAAAAATTATACAATATATTATTAGGCCATAAAAACTGTATGTTACAACAGTTTTCACATATTTCTTAAAATCATTGTATGCATAACATAATTTAATGCTTTTACTTACACATAAATAGAACATTTTAGAGTAAAAAATCTGTGAGCACATAACCTTTGTATCATTATAAAATACAGAACGTGTTGAAGCAAGCAAAAGTAAAATAATAATCATAAGACATTTATATATTTTAAATTTATATATAGCTAATCTGCCAGAATATAACAATGAAATGTATGTTATCATAACATTTAGGAAATAAAAAAATTGTAAGTTAATGTGAGAAGTTCGTATTAAAATATTTAAAAATAATATATTCCTATTATTCGCCGAGTGACATAGTTTTAGAGCCAACAGCTTCAACACCAAAAACCTTAGCTAAATCCTCTTCCAACCGAAGACGATGTCGCTCACTCCCATGTTCCTTCCTTACGTAAATCTTTCCGTCACGTGACCATACATACTTCCAACCATTGCTTTTGGCTGCCACACGGGCTTTATAAAATAACCGGCTATTGTGCTTAGTAAGACGTTCGTTAACATAAATTCTGCGAGCTATTCCCGTCAGTCCCAGACCTTCAGTGGTGATATTGCGCCGTACGCGTGCCGCCTGTATTAGCGCATCACGCTGAGCACGACGCGCCAATCGCACAACTAAAAGGCGTGGCCGCGGAGCTGTAGGGCTCTCGCCATTATCGCGTATGAAACCTGTACGTTCTGACGACACCACATCGCGCTCATCCAGGTCCACGCATAATTTTTTGGCAATAGCCAAGATAATATGTGCGGTATTTTCACCACTCGTTTCAGGAAAACCCGCTATCTGGATATCATTAGATAGTAAGTCTTGATCACGTTCCAATATTTGTGACTTCAACTGTGACACCGTCTCCTCCAAAGTCGAAACTTCACAGCGTTGTAAGCCTTTTGATTTGTCTTCTAAGGCTGATATCCTGGTTTCGATGGAATCAATGCGGTTGCTTTGCATCTTAATGGAAGTCATGAGATCTGCTATAGAATTATGGAACAAGCGCATTTCAGCACGGATGGCCTTCATTTCACTAAGAAGCAGTTTGAAGTCCATAGCAGTACCATCGAGCGATTCTGACATAATATTCTCCATTACGCTGCTCTGTTCTACATGAATATTCTTGTCCTGAGTATTTTTGTGGCGGACTGCCACATACGATTTCTCTGGTGAGACAACCAATGCAGGAGGACTAGAAATTTCAGAGTCAGCAGTACGCACTGGTGTATTCAAATTATTCGTGCGCGGAAGTTTGCTCACACATGAAATGCATTTCCAATTATCTTTACGCTCTTTATTAAACGAATAAAAAGAATAAAAGCGTTTACTGCTTATATTTAAACATTCAATATCATAAACCTCTTTACAATTACAACAACGTAGATATTCTCTTTTGGGTAAAGGTTTTATATATGTTTTAAGAGAGTAATTGTTGTCATGATCTCGGAGTTCAAGCAACCAACTCCAGGAATTCCTGTTGTGAAAGATGTACCCGCTAAATGTTTCACAATTACATTATTTGGTGATTTTAATTTTCCATATCTGGCAAGACTAACCTATAACTATGAAATCAAAAGCACTCACCTGACAGCGAAATGTTATTTTAAAATGGCGGCCCTAATTCCAATCTTGTCCAACTGAACAGATATGGCACTATAAACATTTCGATACTATAGTCTATATTTAATGTTCTCATAATTGAATTAAATTCAATCAATTTTGCATAACTATTCCAGGTAATAAGTACACGCTACACAATCATTGTTTTATGTTACAAAATGTCGATCTGTTAAAGGATACAATTATAAATTTTTGTCGTAAACTTGCTTTAAATTTTATGCTGATTTGATTAATTATAGGGACAATTAAAATTAAAATATTGATACACGTGTAGTGGTGGTATAAGAATATCGTGGGTGTCGTAAGAGGCGACAGAGGGAAACAAATCAAGAGATGGACAACAGCATCTACTTAATAACTGACTGAAAATAAAAATAAACATGCGTGCGTGTCATGGAACACTTGGTCGGAACGTAGTTCCTTTCGTGGTATATTATTATTGATAAACGTATTATATTATTGATTAATAAATACAAATAAACTAATTACTAGCGTCTATTAAAATGAAGCGTCATTTAAAATAAAATAATATTTCTTTCATGGCAAGTAAACGTAGTGATTATATTCTCTTTGGCAAGATAAGAAAAAGTGCGAGGGAGATGGGTATTATTCCATCTCGTTCTCCTTATAGCCGCCAAGGCCATCTACCCTACGTGAGAAGGGGTCGTGACGGAAAAATCTTAAAATCTGCCAAATCCGTCCGATAAAGAGCTTCGTTCCAAAAACTGCGGTTGCCGACCTGCTTGCCAAGCGTGGCAGCTGTGGCAAATATCCCAGCTGTGGAAAATATTCAGCAGTGGACTTTATTAGGCTGTAACGGTAACGATAACAGTGAAAATATCGAAATAAATGTAATAAATGAAATAAGTGCGTAGTGAGCCGTAACCTTCGACGAAAACTAGTTTTATGAAATTTTTCCCGATCTTCGTCAAATCGTCTTATAGGTAAGAATCTACTTTAGCTAAATAGTTTTTAACGTTACAACTTAAGTATACAAACATTTACATATGTATTATTTCTTAAAATCGATAATAATAAAATTGTTTCTTGTTCCATTATTTAGAAACTCGTTTCAAGGGGTAGTTTCAAGGGTTACTTCCCAGGGTTTAATTTTATCGAATTCGGTCGAGAATCGAGAAAATGGCCAATAAAATATATTTATATTGAAGTCGGTTGTTTAATTTTTTTATACGTGGTAGAACCATGCTGCAGCTATATTAATAGTATAGCTGTAGCACGAATGTGTCGCCTCGATCGGGGATGGACCACGCTCTCACAGAATACCAGCGTAAAATGGCAGCTTGACACTGCTGTGTTTCGTATGGTGAGTGTAGAGAACCGGCCACCCATTTTACTGGAAAAGAGGCATTCCGTCTTAGTCCTCACGGGTGACGACGCATCTGCATTTTGATTCTTTATTGAGGATAAATGTAGATGTCTATGGGTCACTGCAACCCCTTACCATCAGTTGGACTGTGTCCTCGTTTATCACCATATCCTATTAAAAAAACTTACCATCTTGTGAACTGAAAATTCGTTAGTCCCTAGAGTATTATACAAAAAAGCTTTCCACTTACAGCATCACATTTTTCAGGTAAAGGAGTGGAAGGGCACAGGAATTCCACTAAGATGTCCTACGTGTGCCCGCCGCAGTTCGTCCGTCTCGGACACAGCTGCTACTTCTTCAGTGACAACAAGGCTACATGGCAAAACGCCTTGTTCTCCTGCAAAGTAAGTGAGACTTTTTGATGTTAGACAGTACCTTCTGGACATTTTCAAAGTCAAAATAGTAGCTAGCAAGTTGCGTTAAAATACAGATTTGTAAGATATATAAAGCTATTTTTAAGTATAATATTTAGGCGCGTTGGCACTTCACTTTGAAGATAACTACACAGTTGAACAAATTAATTTTACATAATTTCATTACACTTTTTTATAGAATAAAGGTGACAAATGAGCACACAGTCCACCTGATGGTAAGTGGTTGCTGTGGCCCATAGACATCTACATCTATTTTCGTTTGCGAATTACAATGCAGATGCGTTGTCAGCCGTGAGGACTAAGATAGAATGCTTCTTTTCTAGTAAAAAGGGTCTCCGGGTCTCTACACTCACCATACGTAGTATTAAGCTGCTATGTTGAGGATGGTGTTAAGTATATTTAGAAATATGAAGTTACATTTATTGCCGCCAAATTGAAGTGCCTGCCCTGCTGTGTTTTGGTCTAAGGCGCAGGGTACAGAGAGCCAGTATAGTTACAGGCTGTGAAGCATTCCATCTTAGTCCTCATAGGTAGCAGCGCATCCGTAGCCTATGATATATAGTACTAGCTGCTCCCCGCGACTTCGCTCGCGTGTTAGGGTTTTTATGTTTTTGCGCGGAACCCTAATTCTTTTTCTAAAATAAAAGTATCCTTAGTTACTCCTTATAACATCAGCTAACTGCCAGTGAAAATCCCATCAAAATCGGTCCATCCGTTTCGGAGATTAGCCGGAACAAACAGACAGACAGACAAACAAAAACTTTAAAAGTTGTATTTTAATTATAAGTACCGTATTTACTTTCATATGCATTTAGTTAAAAGCTGTAATTTTGACGTTACAAACAGACACTTCGATTTTATTTATTTGTATATATAAATTAATAGCTGTTCCCTGCGACTTCGCCCGCGTGAAATTTATAACGATTGGATTTTATTGGCTTTGTTATTTTTGCGCGGATCCCTAATTTCTTTTCTAAAATAAAAGCAGCCTAAGTTACTCCTTATAACATTAGCTATCTTTCAATGAAAGTCCCGTCAAAATCATTCTATCCATTTCGGAGATTAGCCGGAACAAACAGACAGACAAAAATTTTAAAAATTGTATTTTTGTTATAAGTAAGGTATATACTTTCACATGCAATTAGTTAAAAGCTGTTATTTTTACATTACAAGCAGACACTTCAATTTTATTTATTTGTATAGATTTCAAGTTGATTACAAGTGTCCATGGGCTGCAATAGCCACTTACCATTAGGTGAACTGTACATTCATTTGTTATTTATAAAAAGAATAATAATCTTATTATTATGATTTAAATTTATTGCAAATCGTATATTTAAATGAACAAAAATACTTAAAATAGCGATCTACGAAGTGACTTATCGTTATGAATTGGTCTAGCCAGTTCATCGATAAATTTTCTTTTTTTATTAAAAACTAGCTGTTCTCCGCGACTTCGCCCGCGTGTAATTTAGGGTTTTAATTATGTTGCGCGGAACCCTAATTCTTTTTCTAAAATATAAGTAGCCTTAGTTACTCCTTACAACATCAGCTATCTGCCAGTGAAAGTCCCGTCGAAATCGGTCCAGCCGTTTCGGAGATTAGCCGGAACAAATAGACAGACAGACAGACAGACAAAAATTTTAAAAATTGTATTTTAGTTATAAGTACCGTATTTACTTTCATATGCATTTAGTAAAAAACTGTAATTTTGACATTAGAAACAGACACTTCAATTTTATTTATTTGTATAGATAACACAATGTTTTACATACTATTTCTCATATATGCCAATTTATTTATTTATAATACTTAAGTACCTACTACTATAATAATAATAATAATAATAATAATAATAATATTCCACAACTATCACACAACGCCATCTAGTCCCAGGCTAAGCAGAGCTTGTGTTATGGGTACTAGACAACTGATAAACATACTTATATATTTCTAAATACATAAATATTATAGATAAATTACACCCAGACACAGAACAAATGATCGTGCTCATCACACAAACATTTGTCCTGGGTGGGAATCGAACCCACGACCTCCGGCATAGCAGTCAGGGTCACTAACCACTAGACCAACAGGCCTGTCAACTATCTTGTTGTGGTAGATGTGGGTGCCTAAGCCGGGTTAAGTAACAATGACCTCTTAAGCTACTGTCACTTTAATATCATAAGGACAAGCTATTGCCGCAAATTTATTTATAAGTCATAGTACAATCCTAGAATTGGTCAGATTGTAATCTGTCTGGGCATTTCTTGATACGCCACCATTTCATGATTTGGCCGATGATTTATGTTCGCCATAGCACTTGGTGCGTAATTTATTTACATATTATATAAATGTACGCGGCTTTTAAACGACCCCAGCTACACCGTTACCTGCTATAAATCATGAAATGGCAATGTATCATAGAATCTCCAGGCAGATTACAATCTGCCGAAATCTAACGATCGGACTACCACATACACTTAAGAAGGAATATTATAAGATTCACCGTTTCAGTTATTACAACAAAGCAACAAATTAGTTGATACCAGAATTATTTGTATAGATTGACTGTCCTATTGGGAAGGCTATCTGATTTCAGAGACAGACTGTTTATAATCAAGTTAGCAAATACACAAAAAAATATACCAATCAACCTTAGATAGCACCTCGCTTCACAGACAGTCCTTCTTTATTTATGAAATGCACTAAGATTTTTCGTCCGTTTTTCTAAAACGACTTTTAACAGTACTACTAAAAGTCCATTTCTGAACATATGTCTCCCCATAGATTATCTTTTTTGGGGGAAGTCATATTAGAACAAGCGTGGAAACTATGCCAACCAAAATGGGTCGACAACCGAAGATTTTTGTTTTCTAGATGTTATAAGGCAGACGCTGCTGCCTCTCTACTGGTTTGTTTCCCGCAGTCTTCTACTACGATACCTACGGGACGATACGGGATAGTGCATATTCTTAAACTAAGCTGCGATATGTGAATATAAAATATTATTTAAAATTAAATTATAAGCCTAGGCTGATATTTATTAAAATATAATAAAGTGAAAAACAAATTACAAAAACTAATCCAATATAAAATTCACATAATCCATCGTCTTTAGATGGTTATATTACAAATAATATCCCAAGTTAGAACATTTCCAAAGCATGCAAAATATTTGATATTCGAATTGTTTATGGTTCAAGATGGCGAGTTATTCGCGTAAGCTTCAAACATAATCGCAAGATTAACCTGATTCAGTATTGGAAGCTTGGAATTTGTATGGTTAAGATTTTAATGGACTTAGATTTTGAAATAATTTGGAAAAGAGTTTAATTTATTCTAAGATAATGCGTAGAATAAAACAAAAAAATAAACCTAAAAAGCTATTAAAATAATAATTTATTACGTATTATCTATATGCGCATATTCACAAACGAGAATATGGGTGACCTAATTTGTTAAGGTTAAATTTCGCATTATTCTATTAATGGTTGATCTTGAGTTTAAAATGCAAGAATTATTTTCAAAAAAACTTGTCCCAATAATAAAAACATAATTTTTTTTTAATTCCCATCTATAATTTTCATTGGAAGCAAAACAACAAAATGGCCATTTTGAATTTTAAGACATAAAGGATGGGCCTTTTAAGATTTGGAATTTCAATCGGCTATAAGAAAAAAATTTATAAATATTTTTCCAAAGTTATGAGTATATTAGAAAGATCTTTTTTCTAGGATAGGGTGACAAACGAGCACAGTCCACCCGATGGTAAGTGGTTACTGTGACCCATAGACATCTACATCTATCCTCAATAAAGACTCAAGATGCAGATGCGTTGTCACCCGTGAGTACTAACATGGAATGCCTCTTTTCCAGTAAAACAGGGTCTCCGGTTCTCAACACTCACCATACGAAACACAGCAGCATTAAGCTGCTATTTTACGCTGGTTTTCTGTGAGAGTGTGGTTCTTCCCCGGTCGAGCCAACCCATTCGTACTACAACTATACTATAATATAGCTGCAGTATGGCTTTACGACGTAAAAAGTTTTACCGCTAAAAAGAACCCCTTTGTCGTGTCTCCTCAGTTTCAAGGCACTCCCCTTCTTGCCTCAGCCAGTATCGGTATCCTCGGAGTCGACATATCGAGTGACGTGCAGTTTCGTGGTCACTTGGAAGGGAAGGCCAAATTGGCCTCTAAAAAGCTTGGCGTGCTCAGCAGAGCGGGACAGTATTTCATGCCGGCACACCGCCTGCTACTTTACAAGGCGCAAGTTCGGCCTCACATGGAATACTGTTCCCATCTCTGGGCAGGGGCTCCCCAGTGCCAGCTCCTTCCACTTGACCGCATCCAACGCAGAGCGGCTCGAATTGTCGACGACCGAGCCCTTTCCGATCAGCTCGATTCATTGGCACTGCGAAGAGATGTTGCATCCCTTTGCATTTTCTTTCGCATCTACCATGGGGAGTGCTCTGAGGAATTGTTCGGATTAATCCCAGCCGCCAAATTTCACGAACGCACATCGCGGCAGAACTCCCGATACCATCCACACCATCTGGATGAATGGCGGTCCACCACTGTGCGATTTAGAAGATGTTTTCTTCCTCGCACAACCTCCTTGTGGAATCGATTACCATCAGCGATTTTTCCGGACCGATACGACTTAGGTACCTTCAAGAAAAGAGCGTACTCCTTTTTAAAAGGCCGGCAACGCATCTGCGATTCCCCTGGTGTTGCAGTTGTTCATGGGCGGCGGTAGTCACTTACCATCAGGTGAGCCGCATGCTCGTTTGCCCCCCCTCCTATAAAAAAAAAGCCTTCCATTTAGGAATGGAAGACAACATCATTCAAATGACTGCCACGGCTAGCCTTACAATACCCCATTCGATCAGTCTAATGTTTCAGTACATTTTCAATTGTTAGGGCCTCTATTTCGTCAATGGCAACTTCAATTTCATGTTTCAAGTC